CTCTTAATACAAGTCCTTTGTTGGGTACACATTTTGCAAATATTTTCTCCCAAGATGTGACTTTTTATTTTCATAACAGTGTCATTTGAAGAAAACAACATTTCAATTTAAGATTTTATTTATTTGAGAGAGAGAGAAAATGAGTGGGGGAGGGCAGAGGAAGAGAAAGAATCTCAGACTCCATACCGAGTGTTGAGCCCAACGTGGGGCTCAATCTCATGACCCTGAGATCATGATGTGAGCTGAAATGAAGAGTTGGACGCCCAAGTGATTGAGCAACTCAGGTGCCCCAAAATGTTTCAGTTTCAATGAAGTTCAGTTTATCGATTTTTTTTTCTTTTATAGTTGACACTTTTGTGTCCTAATTTTTAAGAAATATTTTCTAACTGTATACTTTCTTTTAGGAGTTTTGTTGTCTTTGAAATTTTTAGGTCTGTGGCTCATTTCCAGTCTTTATTTGGTGGGACATCAGCACTGAAGTTCATTTTTCCGTGTATGTGGGGGGACCTGCTCTGTCCCCAGCCTGGCTCTAACTTACTGGGACTCTCAGAGGTTCTTTCTTTTTTTTTTTTTTAATTTAAAGATTTTATGTATTTATTTGACAGACAGAGATCACAAGTAGGCAGAGAGACAGGCAGAGAGAGAGGGGGAAGCAGGCTCCCTGCTGAGCAGAGAGCCCAATGTGGGGCTTGATCCCAGGACCCTGGGATCATGACCTGACCTGAAGGCAGAGGCTTTAACCCGCTGAGCCACCCAGGCACCCTTCAGAGGTTCTTTCTGATTCACACTTGCATACTAGTGTTGTAACAGTCACAAATACAGGAATTTGCATTGCATTTCCTTGAGCTTTCCAGGCCTTTCTCCCTTGCTGAGTGCCCACTATGTACCAGTAAGTCTGTTAGCTGCCAGAGTTACACAAAAGTAAAAAGTGGCCCTTGCATTCAGGAAAATATCTACGCAGAAATTTGTTTCTATGTTTCACATTTTATCAGCTCTATTGAGATTACTGTATTGTAACTTTTTTTTTTTTAAAGGCCAGCTTCTTATTTCAAGGGATTTTGAGAACAGTTATGGAGTAAAATGTAACTGAAACTACCCCGAAGTTTGCTCATTCACTTGCATCTCATACTTGTTGATTTGTTGGATCTTCTTCTCAACAGTTTGAGGATTTGGACACTAAAATATTAGACAGGAATGCCCAGAGAACAGATGGTGATCAGAGAACTTAAAGTCCAGGTCATTATGACCTGACATGTTCTCTGGGGTACAGTCAGAAGTTGCCACTCTTTCTAGTACTTCACCATGGTTAACAGCTTGTTCATGTTTCTCCTAGTATGTGTTTAACCTAGTTAACTCACAGTAGGTAAGATCTTAAGCTAAGTGACACAAGGATTGACTGCCCCCACCTCTGCCCCTCCACCCAAAAACCATTTCCGCTATCAAGGCAGGAGAAAGGGAAAACAGAAATATTAGGCCACATTCCTTAGTGTTGGGCTCCAGTGTGGCTCGGTTGGGAGGCGGGGGGGGGGGGGGGATCTCACTGCTACCCTCTCTCAGCTGTTGAGTGCCTGCAATGTTTGGTGCCATAAAGAACAGAAGACTGAAAATGCATGAGTCTGTAGACCAGAAGTTTGACATTTCAACAGATTAGTTGTCCTGTTGGGTGTCCTTTTTTGGTTGAGGTCCACCTAATTTTATGATGTAAGGCATCGCAAAACCATAAACTGGTGCTCATTGTGTGGGCTAACCTAGGTTTCAAAAGATGTTGAATTAATTGCCAGCATTTAGGAGTTGAGAAATTGCCCATACAAATCTGGGTTTCCAGCTTCTCTGTGAAAACTGGAAGGTCTGGCAAATCTGGGCTCACGCTCCTGTGTGGTAACAACCATTGAATGCTAGTACCAGCTGCTTCCTGAAAGATCAGCCACTTGGGCTCCATCTCTCCCAGCTGGCTTTCCTGACTGCATCTTTCCTACCTGGGTCCTCCAGGGCAGTGGTTCTTCATCCCAGCTTCACACTGGAGGGATGCCCGTGTTGTGCCCACGGAGGTTTTGGTATAATCTCTCTGGGGTGCAGACCAGGCATCAGGATTTGTATACGTTTCCCAGGCAATTACAAGGGCTGTAGCCAGAATTGAGGACCCCTGCTGAGACAGAGCTTTGCAACCTGTATATTGCACATCAGTCACCTGGGGGTTTTGTTAAAATGCAGATTGTGATTCAGTAGGTCTGGGGTAGTGCCTGGCATGCTTCATCTCTAAGAACCTCCTAGATGGTGCCAATGCTGCTGGTGTATGGACCTCTCTTTGAGAAATAAGGCTCAAAGGCATTTGTTGTATTTACTATATTTTGGCTTTTGAAGCCTAAACTACATACTTGGGTTTTGAGTCTAAAGGAATTGTATTCAAGCCCTCATATTATTACAGTAGCTGGAGTGATGATGGCAAATGAGAGAGTATCCTGCCAGTCATCTTTAGTGAGGACCCCTAGCTTGCTGTGACTGCTGGAAGCCTTTCAGGTTGCTTGGGGGTCCTTGTCTTTGTTAGGTCTGACTTCAAACCACCTTCATTGTCACCAAATGTATATGACATCCCTTTTAGAAATTGCACATTCTCTGACACTTTGAGCTCCTTGGTGGTAGCACCACGTGGCAGCCAGTAGTTTGGCTGCTACTGAATGGGACGGTGGTGTTTCTGTGGCCATTCGAGCATTTCCTTGCGGTGGTTTTCAGTTTGTGTTCCCAGATGCCCTAGGCCTAGAGCAAAGGCTCTCAAACCTCCTCTTGCGTGAGGCAACTTGCAAGACTTACTTAAACATTGTGAGGCTCCAGCCCCAGCATTTCTGATTCAGTAAGGACAGAGAATTTGCATTTCCAACACTTCCCCAGGAGAGAATAACAACGCTTGCCCAAAGACCTAGAGGTTCCCCTTGGCCTCGTGGTGTAGCTTGTAAGATTTTATTTAGGAAAAAGCTTTATTTTAAAGTCTGGGTACTGCTGTTCTGTTGCTTTTTATTCATAGAAATCAGTGGAAAATGGAAACAAAAAAGCTATTGTTAGTGATTTGGGGGGGGGCAGGTATCAATACAGATGAAACAAAGACTGAACTTAGTTTATCAAAAAAAAGCCCTGTTGTCCTCCCAGGGAATACTCTTTGGACTTAAGCTCTGTGGTCCAGTATGATGGAAAAGATGAAGATATAAATTGCTGAAGACCATCTAAAAAAAAGGAAGCTTAATTAAAGATTTAATGCGGTTTTAGGTTTGGGGGGAATAGAACCCCATCCTAACGATACTAAGCCCCTTTCCAGGATTTCCTCACATACAAAAGGAGGAGATGGCTGATGGGGTTTCTTCAGACCCAAGCCTTAAGGAAATACTGTGAACATCACACCACTTACAGCTCAGCTTATCGGATTGGGTCAAAGTAATTCTATCACAGGATGAGACACCTCATTTCAGTTACAAAGCTCAGGCAAACAATAAATGAGGCCCTTCATTTCACAGAGTAGGTGGAAAGGACTTTGCTTGGGTAAACTTTCAGATTAAGTAGATTTTTAAACATGTGGGTAGCTCTTTCTCTGCCTCCATTTCACGAGACATGTTGGAATAATAGAAAGGTCAATACCTGATACCTGAAGTGGAACTAACTCTTCTGTTAGAGTGTGAGTCACCTTTAAAAATGATTTTATTCTCTGAGGATACTCAAGACAGACATTTCAGGGTGTTCTTTACTTCCAACACCCATGGGAATAAAGCACCAAATTCAGAGCTTGACAAAAGTGTAAATGCTTGTTTAAAAAAAAAAAAAAGGAATATCCTTGCAAGGAAATGGGGAGAGAGCTAAAGAAAGTGCTCTAGGGCAAGCAGACTGGGTGGGTGCGGTTCTCAAAACTGCTGAAAGAGGAATCTGGAAACAGAGGTCTAAACAGCGGACTCTTAACGGGGCTTAATAGTAAAGGGCAGACAACCCAAGTTGCTCGCAGTGCATCTTACCCGTCATTGGAAGGTCTGAACCAACATCGGATTTTTTTGAGCAACTTAGTAATGATTGTTAGTGGGCTAATCTGCATTTGGAAGCGAATTTATGGGACAGTATAATTTACGAGAGCTTCCACTGCCGACACCCTGAGCAAGGAGAGGGGCCGTGGTCCGCTTGAGCGACCTACATTTGCTCGGTGATGCAGAGGCTGGAAGGGATCAGTCAGCCGCCCTCCTCATTAAACGCTCTTCCCTTTTCGTGGGCCCGCTTGGCTCCTGGTGGCAGCGGTGCCAGGCTGCTGGAGCTCACGGCAGCCTGCGGGCACCAGCCCCTCCAGCTCACCCTTTCACCCTTCGTTCACCCCCGGGCGCCACGCGGGTGGCGTGGTTTTTCCGCCCACTCCCTAGGCCGTGCTGGAGAGGCTGGGAATTGCATGGCCTTCCCGCCTTGAGGAGCCCTGGAATCTGAGTCCTCCCTGCTCCTGGCACTCGGCTAGGGCGCTGGGGGCTCTAAAGAGGCTGGATGGAGTTCGTCTCCAGACACTCTGATTAGAGACGCAGCCTCTAAGTCTGAACTCGCCCTCCACCTCCCTCCCAGCCCCACCGTTTCTGGTCTCGGAGACACCGGCAGCTAGCGATGCCGCGGGCAGGCACAGACCCAGAGCGCTCTACCGCGGAGGTAGCGCGCGGTCCCGCCGCCCGGGGCATCCCCGCGGCCAGGGGCGGAAGGCTAGCCCGGCCGCAGGAAGGGTCGGCTGAGCCGGAGCTCCACCCCTCCGGCCGCCCGGCTCGCAGGCCGGCACAGTGAGTGGCGGCGGCGGAGGGCGCGGCGCCAGCGGAGAGGGGCGGAGACGTGCGCGCTGGTTGGCTCGGTCTCGGGGGCGGGGCGCGCTGGGCCGGGCCGGAGGCGGGGCCGGGGCCGGGCGCTGGAGCTGCGGGCTGACGGAGAGGAGTCGCGAGCAGCTGGAGCGGAGTTGGAGGAAGCCGCGGCCGTGACGAGGGCGGCGGGCTAGCGGGTTGGAGCCGCCGAGCTCGGATCGGGAACGACGGGCGGGTCGGGGCCGGGTCAGAGGCGCGTCGGAAGCCGCCGCTGCAGCCTGGGCCCCGCAGAGGAAGGAAGCCGGCCGGCGGGGGAGGTAGGCGGCGGCAGCGGGTCCGGGTGTGTGTGTGCCCGGGAGGGGGAGGCGGTGCGTGCGCGCGCGGCTGCCGCCGTTCTCTTCCTGTCACCAGCAGCCGCTTCTGCAGAGCCGAGCCGGGGGAAAGCGGGCCAGCCGCCGGCATCGCCGGTTCTCGGCCAGTGTTCTGCGTGCTCCGGCGGCTTCTGAGCTCCCGTTTCCCCGGTCCTCTAACGAGCTGGCTCTGCACGCCGCCGGACTCGTTCGTGCCCCGAGTTGCAGGCGATCTCGGGCTTGTCCCCACCCCTTGGTTACCGCACACTTCTGGGGGTCCTTACTGTCGCCTTGCTGCAGTTTTCCGGGGTCCTTCACCGGAGGAGAGCGCCCAGACCGTTGCCTTTGAGTTAGCGGGAAGGAGCGGAGGCTCCCCCGCGTCCTCCAGCTGCAACCAGGGTCGCTGCTCCGGCCGTTCCTCAGAGCGGGTGGGGCGGCAGTGGTCCCCGGAGCTCGCCTGGAGCCCCCGCCCTCCGAAGTTTGCCTTCCTCCTCTTCCGGGGTGGGGGAAGTGCTCCTCGGGGAGGCTGGTCGCTGGGGCCCTAAAGGCGTCTAGTGCCGGCTGGGCCTGGACAGGTTGTTGGAGGCATATTTGATGGGGTCCTCGAACAGCCCGGAAACCCAGCTTTTTCGCGGGTCGAGACTGGTGGGACCTGCCCAGCAATATGGAGCCGGCTAGGGAGAGCAAGAGTGTGGCAAGCCCGAGCTAAAATATCGTGGGGAATTGTCTGGCAACCACGGCTCTAACACTTCCCAAGAGCAGAAACTGCCCCTCAGATCACAAGACAAAGAGAACTGAAAAGCTCAAGCTAGCCACTCCTGTACAGATACATACTTCGGTAACCAGAATTTGAGCATGAACTGGGAGGGTGTGAGTGCAATGGCTGTTACATGTTGAATGCAGAACGCGTGTGAACTGGATTTGGGGAATTTCTTAGGCTTCTCTGAGAGCTATTAATATCGAAAAGGTCTCACTTCCACCGTTAATCCCTGGTGGAGCTGCAGCACGGTTGGTAGCCCAGTATGAGTTTACTTTTTATTTGGGGCTTTTATGACTGTGGAAGCAACACTTTTTTTCCCCCTTTTTTCTTTTTCTGTTCTGTTCTTTTTCTCTTTGTCGTTCAGTGTGAAGTACAACTGGCTAAAGCAGTTCCGGGTTTTGAGTGCAGCATAAGATTGTCATTTCAGTGTAATTAGGTTCAGGTTTTAGTTGTTCGGCGGGACATTCACAGAGCTTATTGACCCAGGCATTTAAATGTTGAATTGTATTTAAATGTTTCATTAGCTCGGGTTTTGTTTTGCAACTCTAAAGATGGGTAGGTAGTAGCTAGGAAAGATCGGAGATTACAGGTTCATATCTGAGGCATGCTGTTAAGAGTAATGGATCTTCAAGGTGCAAATCATTGGGAATTTGGTGAGTTCTGCAGAGACCACAAACAGCTTTTATCTTCAAAAAGGAATCCCCTCCCTCCAAATACAGGTTTTTGATAGCTCACGCTGTCCTCGAAATAAACAGTTCAAATCAATAGAGGGTAGTTTCTTAGAAACAGAAGTTGCTTAAATTTTGGGAAGCAAGTGTTTCAGTTGTTACAAAGAAAAAACCCTAAAAGTTGTTGGGGGGTGGGCAGTGTCCCTCTAAAGTTTGAGAAAATGTGTTTGGTTCAGAATCAAGCTTTAAACTGGAAAGGTCAGTGGAGGCGACTACCTGCCTTGCAGAATTGTTGGGTTATGTCAGTGCTGGCCTCTTCAGCTTTTACATTCCTGTCACAGGTAGGTAGTAGATAGTCCTACTTTATTCCTAACAGTGTATAGGTTTTTGTGATTGGGAGGAAGATCTGTCTATCTCATACTGGCTTTCAAAGTGTGAGGTGCTTTTGCTTTTTAACTTCCACCCTGATTTGGGACCTGTTCTCGTCAGTTGCATAACAGAACTCTAGTGTACACGTGTCTATCTGCTGTTTTATCTGCTTTTGTAAAATGATGTTATCACTGTGTCCTTTCACATGTGTGATGCTGATAGGGTGAAAAAGCACTTCGCTTCCCTTCAATTATTTATATTGTCTTTTCTTAGCTATTTTTTGAAATTCATATTTATTAAGATCAGGAAATCCCCACAGTGAATAAAGTTAGTTTTGGGGAACAGAATTGGTACAATAAATTATAGTTTATACATGTTTTGGTTGGTGGTGGTGGTGCTGGTAATATGCGTTTTTCTGGAAATGCCACTTGCACCTCAGCCGATTTTTGAAGGATTTTGTATCTTAAATGCAAACATACACCGCCTGCCGAATCTTGTGTTGTTAAAAGTGACCATACGTGTTAATTACATTTTTCCATAATTGCCATGTAATTTTTAAGGTAATGTGTTGTCCAGAGTTTACTTTTTTCTTAGGTGGTTCATGGGTCATGTTCTAAAAAGGCATCCACTCTGAAAGATTGTCCACTTACTCATTAAAACAGGGACAGTTTCAGTTCATTTCTGTTGTGTTTGCATTTTGTGATTCCCGAAATGCGTTTTATTGAATAAAGACATGGTGAATGAGCAGAAAATGATTTTATGGTCAGGTAGATGAGAAAGAGCTGAGATGATGGCTGCCTATGTGGGGAGCCATTGGGCTCTCACCTGTGGGGCATACACTGTGCAGAAGAAAATGGGAAGTGCTTCTCTCTGTACGTTACATATTTTGATGGGCTCCCCACAGATCTGTTTTGGAGGGAACAGGAATTTATCAGTGAACTCAAGAGAATGGAGCCTCTTAGTGAAGCTCTCAGAAAATGAGGTTACTTACCAGTGGAAGAATGGCTTATCAATTTAGTTTTTATACCTTAGAAGGCACAATATAAATTCTGTGACTGTTTTTAATAGAGAACTTAGGTTGTAAGTAATTTTTAAAATATTCATGGTATTGCTTTTTTCTCTGACTCCTCCATCTCCATCCTAATGTGATTTCTTGCTAGGCTTCTGCCAACTCCCTTATTGGAATTACTTGCCTTAAAAAATGGCGATTAAAGGCCATTTCATGTGCATTATGCCAAATGAGCTGAAAAATAGACTACATAATTACTCATAAACTTGTCTGTTTGGCTTATGTTGGTTGGTTTTTTTTTTTTCCCTCCAAGTGTATAATGAGCATAGCGTAGTTTTTTGCTGGGAAAAAAGAAAATCCTGCTATGAAAACATCTTTGGAGATTTTATCTTTCCAGCATTGTTTTCCTTAAAGTAAATCAAATACATACCCACAGGCACCTGTAGTCAAAATAGTTTTCAGGTTCAGGATCACCCCAGAGAGTCCCAGAGTGTGAGAAGACTCCCCCGGTGTGCAAGAGTGAGTTAATAGAGCCAGGTGTCTGGGCAGACATGCTGCCCCTCTCCTTCCTGGCTAGACCCCGGAGGTCCAGACCCTGGACTCAGACCCCAGAGGACCTAGGGCTGAAGCCTCAGAACTCAGCTACCTTTTTAGTCCATGAAGGACTCTTTCCCTGTTTGAGGGCAGAGCCTTCACCAGACCTTGCCATAGAGGAGTTTTGGCCCCTCCCCTGTCTCCTCTGCCTGGGACCTCCAGAGCCATCCCTTTCCCTCAGGCTGGGAGAGAAGTAGGTGGGCAAAGTCCACAAGCAGCCTTTTTTTGTCTGCTTACTCTGAAAAGGAGTTAAAGGGACAGCAGAGATTTTTATTTTGGGCTAACTTGAGGATTCCTTTATAAGAGTTAGCAAGCCTTTAGAAGCAGTGCAAACAAAAACTCCTAGCAAATATTCCTGTTTCAAGTAAGGATCATATAAATGGTAGTGATAATAGTATAAATAGTATAAATAAATAGGAGTAATGATACCCGTAATAACATAGCTGCAGTTTACTAGCTATGTAACATCAGGCAAAGCCTTTAACTTTTCTGTGTTTGTTTTCTCATCTGTAAAATAGGGTTAGTAATTGTATCTAGGATGGTTGTGAGGGTTCATCGAGTTCTATGCAAAACTCTTAAGAGCTGTGCCTGGCGCATAGTAAACACTATGGTGGTGTTAATTATATTAAGTTCTAATTATCAAGCATGGAGGTAAGCGCTTTATATATGTAATTTCATTTAATTCTCATGGTAACCCCGGGAGGTGTAAGTTTGCTCATTGTAGCTGTCTCACAGATGATAAAATTGTGCCACAGAGAGATCTGAGTAACTTGCCCAAGGTTAAAAATCCAGACAGTGATGGGGACAGCTGCCTTTGTCCGAAGCTCAGTGCTTATACTAATCTCGTTAAGACTTTTGCAAAATTGCATTGTATTTTCACAAGAGGAGGAGGTTCAGATCATCTCATTCAGTTCCATAGCTGTTTCCATGGGCCTTTTCCCTGTGATGGTGCAGGAAACTGGAACGGTCAACCCCCACGGCCTTGCCTGGCTGGTGGGGTATGTTTCTTAGGCCCCTCAGACCTGCAGCAGGAGCACTGGCATCTTTCTGCGGGCCTCCAGTGAGGACTACAGCTGGACCTGGGCCTCTCTTCTCTGCCCCTCCTGAAGTGTTCCAGTTCTGTGTCATCACTTTGCCTTCTGGAAAATCCTGCCTCCGTGTTGTTTCACCTGGGCTTTTCCTGTGTCCTGCCCACCCCCACTGCTCCTCCAGCCCAAGAAGGGCTGCAGCCAGGAATCTTGCCCTAGGCAGCCCACTTGCCCACCGTATGGACTCAGCCCTGAGCTTCACAGCCAGTAAGACATTGTGGTTGGTTTGAAAATGATTGAGGATATCTGACGACTTTTACTTTAGGCTTAATCTGAGTTTGCTCTAACTTTGATTTTTATGATTTCCAGGACATTTTATTGGACAGGTGAAGAAATTTTTAAATGATGATTTGTCTTTAAAAGACAGTGAATTTAGGTTGGGAGCTTGCCCTAGACTCAGAGCTAGCCTGGGGAGGGTGGAGAGGTGGAATGCAGGGAAGTATGGGCTGTGGGCCCAGGAACCCTCCGTTGCCTTTGCA